ATGCTTTCAAAAAGGCGATTTTCCATTTTGTTCTCATTGTTAGATCCCTCGGAACGCCTACTCTCGGAAAACTAAACAGAATTAGCTCACTAGTTGGTCTCACAGTCGCTGAAATACACACCTTTTCCCTATCCTTCTAAGGCCCCTTATCATTCTCTATCTATGATTATCACCTTCTGTTACAGAGTGCCAGGATTTCTCTCCGAGCCATGTCCTGGTTGCATAGCCATAACCACCACTATGGAAGGCATGACTGGACTAGACAGGGTTTGATCCTGAGTCTCAGCCTGGTCCATGGGTTTACCGCGACACCATCTGTTCCTGCTCCAACTGCGTACTGGTAGTGGTCTGCAACGAATTGGTCTGAGAGTTACTATGTATTTCTCTGTTAAATTAGGTGGATCTTTTGTCATCGCTGATAAGGAAGTTTGGGGAGGGGGTGGATTTAAAGGAACGAACAACTGGTTCGCACCCTTCAGCAAGTAGACACTTTAAAAGTTAAAAAGCTTTAATTCTCATAAGGGTAGAAGTTCAACGATAGAAGATCGACGACTGAAAATGTGGAACAGCTTCCTATTTTGGCAAGGAGTGGAACTGCGCTCGTTGATATTCCCGTAACCACAAACGTTTTTGTTTTCTTTACACATGAAATGGAATGTACCATTACCATCTACAGCAGGGAGGTTTTCGATATATGGGCGATATTCGACTAGGATTTTATGACAATCTAGGCATTGCTCCCGTAAGTGTGTCCGAATCAAGTGAAACATTTCTAATGATTGGATGAAATTAGCTATCGAAGAAACAAGTCTTCTACTGGATCTCACGTTGTCCATCCTCGGCAGATGCACTGGAACTGGTTCTAGGAGAGAGTCACTGCGCTTTCAGTTGCCGGAGAATCAGTGAGGAAGCCGGACAGTTCACAATAATTTCGAGATACCCGTGAAATAATGGAAGTGATGGTGTACAGTAGTGAAAAGGTGATGAAGAGAGTGCAAGAAGAGGCCCATCTGGCAGAACCCTTAAAAGTAATAAAAAGGTGGTTGTACGAGATTGTGACCTGACCGGGCCTGGCATCTTTTCCCAGAATGGCGTGTCGCGCTCGGCGCGCTATGAAGGTTAGATTCTACTTCCCCATACTTACAATTAGAGTCGCCGCGGAACCACTGCCGCAGGCAGTGGGAATTCGGGGAGAAGTTCCGCTACCCCCGTCAGACCAGCTGTCTGCTGTGCGCTATTGCTTACAATAAGCCAAAAATGCCGAAAATTGCCGTACGTTGTCTGATCAAAACTGGCTCTTTGGTTTATGAACATGTGTGCTACACCGTGAATGGTGCAGCCTCTACCGGGTCTTCGAAACACGGCCACTTCTGGGTGTGGCATAAAGTGGGTACAACTTTGAGCTATTATTTATGACCCCAAACTATGCCCTTGTGGCATGTATCGGATACAACCTTGAACAATTATTCTTGGCCCTGAACTATGCCCTATCTAGCACTTTTTCGATTTAACAGGTCCAAATAAGACATACTCGGGGCTATGATTTTATCACAGGGTGAGATTTTGGAAACAATTTTCGTGAATTCTACTGTACATTGAGAGGCACGGTCCACGACAGACAGAGCTCTGTTAGTGATTAATGTACCGGTTGGCTGCTTTCAAACGGATTCACGATCCTGTCTCACTCACTTCCCAAATACGTGCCTTTGGAGTGAGTTTTGGGATCATGTCGTCGACTTCCAAAAATTCTAATTGGCTGTACAGGGCGCGATTCACAGTGGTGCATCCCAAATGAGCAGTTATTCGCAAGCTTCATTCTGAATATTTATTAAAACATTTACATATATACATAGCTGTATGTCGTAAATAAGACAACCGGCACCTTACTAATAAGGTATTCAGTAAAAGTTGGTGGTCTCTAAGAACTGGAGGTAGATTCTTGCTTAACCGCAATTATGGTTTTTCCAGTAACTTCAGACCGACTAGAGTAGGGATGGACCTTGTCATGGCCTTCATAAATGCACTCACTATGCACACTACTCCAGAATGGGAAGCGAGATGTAAACTTCCTACCTGACAAAATCCACAAACCGGTGATAGCCTTACAACGATACAAAAGAAGTATGCACAAAAAGGAGCACTAACAGCCTGAAACACTAAACATTTTCCCTCAATCCCAAGTCGACAGGGAACAGGACACTATGTTGATGGGTCGAGGAGTCGAACATTCGTGTTGAGCTACTTAGACAATCTCTGGGGAGGGGGCAAGGGGGGAGGGGAGGGGGAAGTATACCTCACTGATGACGCAGAATCTATGAATTTACGGCGCATCACGTTAAGAATTATAGTCTGACTGGGAGTCCTTCTAAGTGATACTAACTGGTAGATGGTAGTTTGCTCAACTCGACCCCATGAGTAAAGCAATGGTCACACAAGCCTTGGTAGTACAAGAGTATAGAATTTACGAATTAAATAGATTGCTGTTCTAGCTGAATCTAAATGAAATAGTTTGTACAGTATGTACCGCAGTACTTTCAATAGTCAATGCTTGTGGAACATAGAGCCGGATGAAGTCTGATTACGGCCTCTGGTTGCAAAATAGGTGGCTCCTGCGACGAGAGCTGTTACGGTGAAGAACTGGGCCATGATTCTGTATCGCATGGATTTCTGTACACCCAGCTTGTCACCATAATATGATGACCTGAAATGTAGTAAATTAAATTTAGACATGTGTAACAGTCAAAACAAACAATCTCACTTCATTATAGCAAGCAAGGCGAGCGTTGTTGCACCCAATCCCACAAGTACTGCTGGATTGCTTGTTGCTCCTGAGACAGCACCTCCTCCCACTTCACTTTTAACCATATTCTCACTGTTGAAGCGACCAGAAACCGGAATTGAGGGGATCTGAAGAGAAAAAAATAAAAAGATGCGCGTTTTCAACTGTTAAAAGATAAAGGCTGAGCCTTAGCAGCAGTTACTTATTTGACTGAGGCAAAAAGAACGTCNGGCCATGATTCTGTATCGCATGGATTTCTGTACACCCAGCTTGTCACCATAATATGATGACCTGAAATGTGGTAAATTAAATTTAACATGTGTAACAGTCAAAACAAACAATCTCACTTCATTATAGCAAGCAAGGCGAGCGTTGTTGCACCCAATCCCACAAGTACTGCTGGATTGCTTGTTGCTCCTGAGACAGCACCTCCTCCCACTTCACTTTTAACCATATTCTCACTGTTGAAGCGACCAGAAACCGGAACTGAGGGGATCTGGAAAGAAATAAATTAGATGCGCGATTTAAATTGTTCAAAGATAAAGGCTGAGCCTTAGCAGCAGTTACTTATTTGACTAAAGCAAAAAGAATGTCTCCTCATCTCTCCTGCAAACTTTTCTAGTTTGAATCCCTCTTCAATAGTGGACGCATTCCTGTGTTGGTATTAGTTGGGCTGATCTGCAGCTAAATCAGCCCACCAAACAACCTAATAGTAATAATAATATTCATAGATACTAGTAATATTATAAGTAAGTAAATACAAAATATAAAATATGTTGTATGAAATATAAAATATATAATATAAAATATAGCAAATATAGATTGATATACTTTCAGAAAAAGTTCATCATAAAAGTGATCTGCCTTCTCTTGGTTAATCTGTATAATCTTCCTACTGATGCGAAGCAACAATAGGTTGATGGACTGTCTATGCAGGCATTCACGCGCTATTGTTCTTTTTGATTATTTATTTATTTATTTATTTTCTTATCATCATTATGTCTTCGAACTACCATTTGCAACTCTCATAACATTCACTAGATGAACTAGGGAGAGATTTGCTACCACTGCCACCCACTAGATGTTTCTGATTATGCTACCTTCCTGGAAATTTTCAAAAAGCTAGTGAACCTTTGAAACTAGATAGCACATGAAGCTAACAGGACCATCCAAGATCCCGATGAGTTATATGAGTGAAACGAGAAATAAGACTCACACTAGTATATTTTTCATGTTTTCCTCCCTCCTCTAAAACTCGTCCCGAATCTGCGAGAGGCTTGTGTTGTTTGTCATATTCGTACGTTCCCTTACGTATTGTCTGAAACAAATGTAAATAATAAGATTAGCAGATGATACGAGAGTAGAGCAACACAGACCATACCATTACTCCTTCATCCTCATTTTCTTGAATAGCTGGCGAAGGAGGGGAGTAAGCATCTGGCGAAGGAGATGGGTTAGATTCATTCGAATTGAACCAACTGAAGATTCCCATGGCAAATAGTTTCAAGCGTAATTGAGAACTAAATGGGTTATTAGTATTTCCTAATAAAGGATTAAAAATTGAAAACCACGGGTTAGCCGCGGATTAACTGCCAAAGAAGGAAGACTGTTCATAGTAGAAGATCAGTGAGTACTTATGAGGAGATGAAAGATTGCTCAAAAAACTTCACTCAAGCCATGCAAGCTGAAAGGCGTGATGGGTATTTGAAGTGGAAAGGTGATGAATAATGCCCGGATGATTACTGAGCTCAAACGGATCGATCGGAAGCCATTTATTTAATTGAGCAGCTGTACATACTACTCATTAAACCAAGGCTTGAAGGTATCAGAGGAAGCCAGCCATCTCATCCTTTTAGGGTTCAAAATGAGAGGGGGCTGCTGGAAGAGTCGTAAGAATGGGAAAAGAGGAATAGACATTGCTTTTGTAAGAAAAGCAAGCACCTGGCATGGTAAGGGAACACAGAGGTCAAAATCCTTTCAATTTCAATCTAAATCCTACGGATGAGGCAACCTCCCAAGTTTTCATGCCCATCCAAGAATAGTTAGTGTTTTTGCCTGGATTTGGAAATCACAGGATTTTCGTTGGTTCGGGAAGGGGGAGAAATGGCTGTCGGGGGCGCGTTTGTACAACTAATGCAGCTGCAACTGACTGCCACTCTTACCCCTAGTAACTCATAAATTTCGTTGATGTTGATCACTGTGAAGGTTAAATGCTCACTTAATTCCCTCCTTTGGCTTTAAATGGAGTTTACAGGAGGCGCTTACAGGCGCTTAATGAAAGAATATAAGAGATGCTTGGAAAAATGAACTAAGAATAAGCAAAACCCTTCTCCCGGTGGGGAATGCCACCAACCATTAAGACGGGGTAGGATTTTATGGAGACCTCACAGACCGCGTGTCACATGGGAAATGGTGAATGTTGTTTACTAGAAGGCTAGGGGAGGAGACATTCATATGTTGTTTACTGGAATGAAATCGATTTGGACATGCAGAAACATCAACACCCGTGCTCGTTGGTCGATGATTCCTCGTGAGATGATCGCGGGGCCCTTGCACGCCACTTTTAGATGTTTCTTTGATATGAAGTGTGGGGCTCTCATCCATTGGTACTCGGAATATACGTATATCCATTGATAGAGCCAGAACAGAAGCACCAGTGGTTCATTGGGATCTGAAGGTCCATCCAGCCACATGGACGTTGAACATTGTTTTTCGAAAATAGTATCACGTGCTATGAGAGAAAACAACTATCTTAAGCTATCTTAAGCGATCCTTGATCATCTCTCAGTGAACAGCAAAAGGGGGTCTGAGGGATGGGGGGCACCAGAGTCATCGGGATGTATAGTAACCCTTAAATAAATCACATTAAGCATGTTCAAAGTTCACTAGAAGTTCCAATGGCTGATCCTATCCTCTTCATATCCCGGTCCAAGTTCTTTCAGGAACAGCTAAGGAGAAACATAATCAGGTGGATCCCTATCGCGCTTCCCCCTTCCCCTAAACCGGTGAGAGACGGAAAAGCGGAGCAGCAAATTTCACTGGGTAAGATTTGTTTGACTAGGTTCATAGGGTCTTTCGAATTGTTTAGGTCCCAGTATCGTAGTTAATGGTTCGATGTATGGGCAAATCAGTAAAGTGTCTTCAGAAAGTGGTAATTTTCGAAGGTTCTAGGTGAACTGTGAACTATGAGATGTTTGCTGCCGCTGCAGCGGGGTGGTAAACACGCCAACGATCATTCACACAGGCATTTCTCTCAAGCAGAATAAACCACACAGACGGGTCTTGGTGAACGAATGGCGCTGTTGGAACAAATCAAACCACAAGGGTTTTGCTTAAAATATTTCCAGCCCATTCTTTGATATTGGATAGGGAACAAAGTCCTTCGGCAAGTAATCCTTCCCTACGAGGTGATCTTCCCCCAATTGACTCTTAATTTCTTTTGACTCCGTGATACGAAACTTCCACATTTTGCCTATTTATTAACTTACACGGTTAATCCATGTAACTCTTTTACCCATGTTGGTTGACAGATATCATTGCAGGTTCAATCCCTACGACAGAGCTCCATTTCGAGCACTACAAATCGGTGATGGGTCGGAAAATTGTGCTCGCGATGCCCTAGCCTACTATCGAGCATATGTAGCTTTTTCACGGATCTGCCATTCTCCTCAGAACGCTACAACGATCTCACTCCGACCAGGAACTGTGATCTTTCTCGACAACTTCAGGATATTCCATGCAAGGGCTAGGTTCAAGGTATTCCGCGCTCGCTCTTTCATTGTCTTTTCATTCGTTCGAAATAATTTTTCCTGGGCCTAAGCGTTCTCTTCGAAATCTTATTCTATTTTGATTTAAGAAGAAAACTTATAAAGTAGTAGTAGAGATGACTACGTTGAGAAATATTTTTCAAAACTTTTTTTTGTATTCCCGGGCGGTTTTTAATAATGACGTCACATGATCGTTTTAATTCGGCGGCTTGACATGCTTATAAGTAATGGTAGTGAGATAGTAAAAAGCTTGAACTTATGATCAGGCCAGGACCAGCGAGTACGCAGTACCATAAATGAGTGACTATGTCTATAACATATAGAACCGTCCACTAAATCTGTTTGTTGTTATCAACGCTTTTGACTCCATCTTCGAAAGTGGTAGGTGGAAGCACCCGCTCGGAAATGAATCCCACTCAGATTGATTTGAACAGCTATTCTTTCGTCTAAATAGTCGTAACGTTGTTTGATCGAGTCGTGAAGCTGGCATCTACACAAAAGAGGAGGAATTTAGATCTATAAGATTATCTCACTCAAAAAAATTCTGTCTCTATGAAAAATCTACAGCTGGTTGGCGGGTAGGCAAAGTGGCGCGGCCCGAGAAGTGGGGCTAACGCTGACTTAAAGCCACCACTGCTGGCCCCTTTGGATAGGTTCTCTGAATTCATCTGTGTCTTATGGTTAGAGCTAGTACTGGTGGCCTGGTGTGCCGAGTCAAACTTCTTTTACCTTTGGCTGCTGGTAGATGTATCCAAATGTGTGAGTGAAGAGTTTGCAGGTGTGAAATATGTCGTCTACGGTCAAGTCTGTCGGTCAAAAGTTTGACTGACTGGAATGTATGCACTAGAGAGGCACTCCAGG